CAGTTTGTGGGGGCAATAAGCTGACTTTGTATAAATATACAAAAGTATGAAGGCTATTGCTTAACGCATTGTAAGCTGCCCTGAGTCTCCGGAGAAGGGCGGCATATAAATCAAATAAAAAAAAAAAGTGAAGGAGCTAACTCTACTCATTTTCCACAGCATGGAAGATATAATCTCTTTGCCATTTTAATAACAAATTTAATAAGGAACCTTCCAAGAGTTGGAAATGTGATGATTGTGGAAGAACTCCACAGTAATGTCATTGTAGCAAAGATAAATTTTGATGCATGCAAAAAATGACAATGTCATGATTCCAACAATTACACTCAATTCATCAGAAGGCGAAGATGTTCCTCTTCAGTGGACACAGTTCTGAACACAGTCATGCTTTGCTGTCACTATATATAAAGAGGGAGAACAAACCATGGAGAATGATTTATCTGGAGAAACCATTGTTTCAGCATAGTCAGCTGTATGTGGCAGATCAATCACAACTGTTGTCATCAAAAGCATCCTTTGTTAAACAAGAAGCATCTATATTTGTCTTGCTACAGATCTTTCTTCTTTAATAAAATGATGGGTTCATTTTCTTTAATTTTAAAACCAAAACAGCAACAATCACTCTGTTTGTTTGTTTAAGTAAGGAAATATCTCTAAAAGGGTGACCCAATGGGTCACAGGTTGTTTTGTCCAAGATATACAGCCAAATGTCACAATTTCCAAAATCTATGCAGGAACAACAGGTACATTTGAAGAAGAAATAAAACAGTTCTGTGCTGACATTCATGAAGTGCTACACCAAGTGCCAAAATATATATATAGTATTCATTATGGAAGAGTCCAACACCAAAATTGATGAATGTCACTTGAATATATGGCATCTCAAAATGGACTGTACTACAACCAAACCGATTATATCTTACACAGCCAACAGTGGGGAAAAAAACATATTTCTTTACTTTTGCTGCAGACTGTGGTTTGGACCACAACTATTTGTAGCCAAAGTCTGTTTCAGGTTCAAATTTGAACACCCAGGAAATATGATATGAAAAAAAAAATATGTTCAGTTGAAATTAAGAAACAATATCAATTTGCTTAATTCCATGGAAGAACCACCAAATAGGAGAAAGGAAAAAATGAAAAACATAAATAAACCAGCTCAATAAATCAGTTCAGAAACATGTTGCATATAACATTTGCACATTTAAAAAACTGAAAACAAGGAAATAAATAGGGAGCAGAGGAAACTATCCAAATCACTGAACCAAAAAGAAATCTAAAATTATGGGCAATAGAGATGAAGCAAAACGGCTAAATGCAGAAGTTTAACCTAAAACTAGAAAAATAATAAAATTAGATTTCACGGAACATGCATGTAAATTTCAAAATTATGTATATATATCCTTCATCAACTACGGTAAAACTGTTCATTGCACTGCATATGAAGAGTTATGGAAATACCTTAAAGAAAGGGTCATTCCAAAACACTTGATTCACTTCTAGTATTCTATCGGTTTTTCTATTAAATTTATATATTGAGGCAGTTTTGAGGAACTTTAATTTAGATGAATTGAAAATTGAAATAAAAGCATCTAAGATATCCAGATAACATTGCTATACTGTAAAACTGAATATAGTATAAAAGTGAAAGCAGAAATTAAAAAACCAAGATTGCTTCTGAACATCAAAAACAATATAGTTGTGGTGATAACTGGAAGATAAAAATCAGTATGAAAATTTATCAGTCCAGGACTTTATTTTCCTCGGGACCAAAACTGAATAAACAAAGACCCCAAAGTTAAACAATGGGAGCACTGCAATGACTATCATGGAAATGATTTCAAAAAGCAATGTTTTGATACCAAATGCAGAATAATGAACACTATCATTTTTCCTATAACTACCTACAGTTGCAAAACACAGTTTGGATAATAAGAAAAGTAGATTGGGGGGGAAAAATGACTCCCTCAAATTATGGGTTTGGAGATGATTATCTACATCCCTTGGACAGGAAAAATGATGAACAAGAAGACCAAGTTGAACCAGAAATATCACTAGAAGCTAAGATTACCAAGCTAATTTTGATCATATCATATATTTGAATTCCTTAGAAAAATCAATTATGCTAGGAACAGTTGAAGAAACTACAAAGCAAGACCAGCAAATAACATCCTTGAGAGGTTTCATCAAGCAAAATACTGCTTTAAACCTAGAAATATTAAATAAAGTTGTAAAATATTGGAAAGAATTTAGAATAATCTATAAAATCTCTGAAAGTTGGATGTGACTGAACAGATGAAAAGAAACAAGCAGAGGAACTACTTCAATATGTTGATGCTTTCTGAAATATGAGGCATGCGTTTCATCTCAATAAAAATAGTTTAATGTTGATAATTTCTAATATGGTGTACAATGATAAAAAAAAATGAAAATATCTTACTACTCCTAACTAGCAGAATAGATATAGGTCTCAATCCAGCTATTAATGCAAAAATATCAACAAATTAGAAACAATATACATTTCACATCTTATTTTTATTTCCAGATTCTGATTCACCATGTTTTATCATTAGACAAATGCAAAAATGTAATCTAGATAAAATAACTCACCTGAATCTTGGTGAAATAAATAAAAATAAAAAGTAAAGCTAGAAATAAAACATACAAAATAGCTTTCTCTAACAGTTTTTCCTGTACTTGGAGGTTTCAAATAGGCTTGCCAGCATCTTCATTTCTTTATTATCTTTATCCTTTATTATCATTTAAAAGATAATTTAACACATTTTGTTCTTATAAACAGCCAGGAGAGAAAGCATGGGTTATAAAATCTTTTTTGGAATATACTCAACTTTTAAATAGCTAAAATACTGTAGAAATAATAAGTTTTAAATCCACAGTGTGGGGTAGTATTTGATTGGTAGTCTTCTGCAGCAGGAATATGGTAATAATAATAATAATATACATAAATTGATTATAAAATCCACATAACACAGTCACCAAAATTATTCCCTGGAACATCTGTAAAAATTATCATGCACCAGCAATGAAAAACTGAACACAGAGTTGGAAATAGTAGCAGAAAACAAGGGGGTTAAAATATTGTAGGATTTGTGAAAACAGATTGATAGTCTTGATTCATAATGCATCAGATATAACTGTGGCTGAAAAAAAAAGGGGGTAATTGATATGGCAATACCAGGGAATAGTACAATAGAAGGCAAAGAATTTGAGATGATCACAGAGTAATAAGATCTAAAAATTGAAAGATTATGGCATAAACTTGCAATGGTGGTCCCAGTGGTTTTGGCATGCTAAATGCCATAGCAAAAAATCCTGGATGGCACTTAGAAAACCTGCGCATTGACAAAATTTGTATCTGTCAATTGCAAACAGCCACTCTGCTTGAATTGCACATATATTATGCCGATATAGTATGACATTCCAGGTTCTTGAGAAAAACTCAATGCTTTTGAAGGCCAATATCAGCTAAAGAAGTGGCAGCTTCACATATTCTTGTGAACAAATAATAATATAACAAGATTCCTCCAAACTTTTCATACCAAGCCAATATTAGTGCTGGAACCATAATTTAAAAGCTTTTGGAGACCCTCAGATTCTGTGGCCCCTTTGCATAAATTTATGTCTTAATTAAAAAATCAAGGTACCAGTGCTTTTGTCAAAGGAACACATCTAAAGAGGGAGTGAAAGAGGGAATTGTCAATATTTGTGACTAGCTCACTGCAAGAACAGCAGAGATCTATCAGTTAACTATATGGCCCTCTACAATGGTGACATAAAGAGCTTTGACAAAGACATCATCTTTAAGAATGGTTGACCTTTATGTCTAGTCTTTTTTTTCCTGATTTTTACCCTAGAAATAGATTTACTGCTCATCTTGGCCACTGCAATGAAGTTGCATAAAACAGAACATCGTTTTAGAATGGGCTTGATTAACATGCATTGGCCACCAATTTGGCTGTGTGTCAAGGAGAGTGTACAACACACAAAACACATAAACCTTTACAGATAATACACAATCAATACCATGTCTTTAGCCACTGTTTTTTTCCCTTTGAGAATTATTTTCTATGGGAAAAATGTAAGGCATTCATTATTCCGTCTAATTAACAAGTTACTGAGTTGTGAAATAAGACCATTAACATAATATTTTGGTGATTTCAATAATACCAAAATGCTAAATAAGTCTGAAGTTCTTAATGAAATTTAATCATCCAGTCTACATTGTTGTAACCCAATTAAAGGTATCTTCACAGAGTTGATTAGCTTAGATTGCATAAAATGTTTCTATTATGTATTCTATTATTCATTTGCAATGTGCCCTTTATATGGGTCATCATAAAATAAACACCCTACAGGTAAGACGGTATCCTGACTACAGTTAATAATATCTCTGAATACAGTAGCATTTTAATACCCTCCTAAATGTTTGAAGATCCCAGAAGTCATTAACTATTCCTCCTAGTGGCTGGGCCATGGTTACTAAGGCTATTTCCTAAACATTTAGAGACCATCATGTTGTCTAATTCCTCTTTAATGTTTTCAAGGGGGGAAAAAAACCTTAATGTCCAGATTGTTACCCAGCCCTCCATACCTTCAATATTGCTAAACATTCCTCCATTCAACTGAACATAAATGTATTTATTTTCTCCCATATGATCATTAAACATCACATTCAGTTTATGCCTTGTGTTTGTGCCCTTTGGCAATGAATTTGTCATAGCTGGAACCCTTGTTTCTAATAAGTCTTATAATTTACTTGTGCTGTTAGGCTAGGAAAGAGAAGAAAAAACTTACGGCCCACCAAATGGTGCTGAACTACGACTCTCAGAAGACTCACTATGTGTCATCAATGGTGAGAAATGAGCTAGGGGTATTTCAGCAACATCTGGAGGGCCTTCTGATTCACTTCTCCTGGCATAAATCCTCTCTGTGCTAAAATTTAAAAGCAGCTTATTCAGATTCTGTCTGCAAATACTTACAAAGAAAAGGAGGTTGAAGAGGAAAAGAAAATATTTTGTGACTTTCAAGCAGCCTGATGCCATCTTTCCTCTTCTTCTTCTTCAGATCTAGAAGTAGAAAGAACTAGATGAATAGCCATCCTTGACATTATTCTGCTCTTCTCACCCACCCTTATTTGCATACCAGATATGCCAACTAACTCAACATAGGATTCACATTGTCTTTTCCTTTTGGTATTTCTTTTCCAATCGATGGTTTGATCTGTTAAAAGGAAATGTTATGTTCCTCCTATTCAAAATTTGAGCTCGGAACTCAAAAAAGAAAGAAATCCCTTCCAACCATACACAAACAGAAATGAAACAGCTGTGCAATATGCCTTAGTTTGTGTTGATATTTCAAAGTTAGAGACCAATGCTGAATAGAGACAATGTGTATTTGTCTCATCTAGTCAATCATCAGAGACTTTCGCTTTCTATGACTCACCAAAAACTTACCTTTTCCATAGCTGTTAAAATAGGAAATCAGCTGGCAATTCTCATGACCCGTATTGAGCAACTAGAATCTGACAACATCCTTAATGACCTTCCACAACAATGCAACAGGAAATAAAACATGACAGTCTTAAGAGCAGCTAGCCCTTCAACCTGCAGCAGATCAGCTCAGAGCTTCCTTGTGTGAGATAACAATTCAGCAAAGGATAGTGGAATAAAGCCAGATATTATGCTCCAGTCTAAAACCTGCTTCTAATCCTGTTAGGTTATTTAGGTCAATACCAAGATCAGAATGGAATTGGAACATCTTTCTCCCCAGGCACTAGCACATTATATTATCTTACACATTATCTTATATGCTATATTACATATTATGTATTATATTCCATATTAAGGAGGAAAATGTTAAAGCAGGATAAACAAACGGAAACACGTTACTGAGAGTAGCTGAGTGAAGCATGAATGCAGATAAGACGCTGTAGGGTATGGTCAGCCTGTTTTCTAAAATTGGTATTTTCTATCTTAAGCATTTCAGAAACAGCTCTTCTTCTTTCCAAGATAAATAAGGGGAGGGGAAGGAAGAGAACTTTGGAAACATTTTCTTAAGTTTAAATTATATGCACATTGCAAAAAAGTAATTGTCCCATGTATTTTAGTAATGTAAGTATAACTGCTATTTATACAAGCAGAATTCGGTTGGGAGCTGGGCATCCACTCAAGATACTGCTTGAGCAAAATTCAAGTGAAGTTTGCAAATGCCACATTCAAGAATGCTCTTCCAAGTGAACACCCTTCAGCAAAAACCTTAAGCTCCCAGAGTTTCTAACCAGCAGTTACAACAACTTGGAATTCTGGGAATTGAAGTTCCAACATATCTGGAGGCTGCAAGGTTGGGCATCAAAATGGTCTCCCATAGAAGATGGTATAATAGGTTATTTTGTTTAGGACGCTAAATGTAGGGTTTCTGAATATATTTAACTCAATACTTGGAGTTCACACTATCATGCACATCTTGTTCATTTGGGCTTCATTAGAAAAACATTAGATGTTTTTCCAGTAGGTCGGAGGATGCACATTCACAATCTATTCATTCCGATTTTGTAATATAAACCCAGCTAGCCTTCTTTTTAGAAAACATACATCAATAAGACCAAACCCATAGCATGTTTTGCTGCTCCACCTCTTTCTTCTTACACCGTCTCGGCTTCCAAATAGTCTACTGAAAGAAGTGTAAAAAGATACTGTGGGAAAGAGAGAGAAGGGTCTGAGGAAATTTCCAGGTTTTTTCAATGGAAAAAAAAATAAAAGAATTTCAAAAGCCTCTGCTGAATAGATCCTCACGAACCCCAGGGAAATCCATCAGACAAAGCTACAGCAAACTATTAGCGCTGCATTATTAGTCCAAATTCCTGTTTCGCATGTTTAACATTCACCTGTTAATGCCCAGCTATCATGTCCTGCAACATGCACAATATTACAAGTGCAAAAGGCCAACTTTGGACTTCATGCACAAAAATTGGTATAAGCATCTGTCCATAGACCGAATTCAACTCAAGCTATAATCTGAAACTTTCCTAAACAGAATTAAATCATTGTGTCTCTTTAACAAACTATATTATCTTTAGCTCTAAATTATTGAAAGAACATCAGAAATCTATATCACTAGAAAGTCACATGTTCTTTTAACTATATTCAATTTACTGATTCCATGCCCAAAAGAGCCAACAACAACACAGGTCGCTAGACAACCTACACAAACAAGCATTCACAGCTACAGTCACTACTTATCCCTACTCCACTCTTGCCCACTACTACTACTACTGCTACTCCAACTACTTCTCATGAGGACTATTATTCCTACTCCTTGTGAGTTTTACTAGAGAAAATTATCTCTTTCTAGCTGTTTTACTTCCATACACAAACACCTCCTTGCCTCTCCTCTTTTTCACATACCAAGTTCTCTCAGCACAGCACATTGTCCTGCTAACTGGGGAAAGGCTTAAAGAGACAGGACAACACAGCACAGGTGCTAGCTATTTTCTGGGTAGCTTGCTCTTTCTCACCCAGAATCTGTGATATTATCAATCCACCAGTGGTGGGTTGCCCCCGGTTTGGACTGGTTTGTAAGAACTGGTAGTAAAACCGGCCGGAGGCTCTGCCCACTGACCCGGACATCATCAGGAAGCTTCTGTGCATGCACAGAAGAGGGCGAGCGCGTGCATGCGGCCCTGTTATGAACCAATAGTAAAGGTAAGTAGAACCCACCCCTGCAATCCACCAATGAACAATACCATGATATATTACTGGGGTAGAGCCTATAACACAACTACTCTTCTATACACAAATTATTGTTGCCCCCCCCCCCCATATGAGGGGTCCAGTATACTGCAGGATCCAATCTGGGTTGGCTGCCTGGACCAAAGGTTTAGTCTTCCATGCTTTCAGACTCATGCTGGAGCTCACAGAACTTCTCTCTACCAGAATGTGTTCCACAAAATTCCTGCAACATTATCCTGGAATGTATATATTTGCCTTCATTAAATATATGCTTACATGCAGAAATAAGACATTCACATAATTTGGGGAAAAAAACTAAACAGAGAAACCACTGCACAAAGGCATTACCTTTCTCAAAGTAATTATTTTTATGATGGGAGCATCACATTTCTTATAATTACATCCTTTACTGTGAAAACTGGATTCCAATCAAGAAGGGAAATACCATTTCTTGCCAACTAAATTTTTGGAAACCTTTAATTGCTCGTATGTGTGTGCACACACATAAATACACACATTCATTTTCCATTCAGAAAGATTATTTTCCCTGTGTTAATAAAAAATCATCTTTTGTTCTAATTTTCAAGTCAGTAAACAAGTTATCTGCTTGCCCCAGTAATCCCTTGGGAATGTCATTCAGCTGGCCCAGTGGGAAAATGAAATGGCTCTCTGAAACTCCACAAGTGCACAATGTTTTCTACAGTATGTGCATATGTTAGGTACACTCAAGAAGAAATTACTACATGAAAGGATCGTCTGAGCTTGTAGTGTCCTTACCCATTGTGCTCATGGCATTTTGTTTCTGTAATTGTATATACAGTAAGTCAATCCTCCCGGCCTTCCGTAAGAGCCTAAAGACCTGGCTCTGCCAGTTAGCTTGAGGTTCCAAAGACAAGATTTATAAACATAGCTTTGTCTCCAAGCTCTTTAATCAAGCTATTTTTTTTTTAAAGTTAGGGAAGAAAGACAACAAAATGAGTAAGTATGGCGATCTTTTGAATAAGCATTCTATATACTTTCCTTATACCTGCAGCAAACTAATAAGCAGTGGCAGAATTAATAATCTCCTTGTTTACTAATAGGAGTCAACCCATCCCTGGGGGCAATCCGCCAGGAAGTTTGTAGCTACCAATCAGATTAGGCTTGTCAAATACAGTCAAAATGAAATATCCGAAGACAATTCCAGTACATCACCGTTTTGTAATTAAAAGTATACGACATCAGAACTGTTTCATCATCTACCAATGAAACCTTCCTGTTAAGTCAGTTGCAAAAATGAATTGTGCCAACCATTCAGGAATTTTGAAGCTGGAGAGATTTTTAGTTTGAATTAACTGGATTTTATATTTGTAAGTCGGGTTCTAAATCAGAAGGCATAATGCCTGCTACAGTGTGGCACCTGGAGGAACATACAGAGATCGTAACTGCTATTCTAAACCCCAGTTCCACAAGCCACTTTGTTTTGTGAAGGAAAAAGAATTTTGCAGAATTGTATGCAAAAAGTTAGACATCTGGTCAAATTGTATTTATCCCTGCATCCCTAAAAGAATAGAAGCTGATAGAATCTATATAAATTCACAAATTTGAATGTATACTTAAGCTGTTTACAGGCAGAAATAAGAATATAGCAGGTGTAGAATTTAGACACTGTTTCAGTTAATATTCTGCAACAACTCTTTTACAGAAAGAACAAGTTCCAATGTCCCAAAGATGCTTTTTCAAGAATCAAAAGTATCTTTAGGACAACCATGACCTGGATGACTAAGAATCTCCATAGACATTTAACAATTTCCAATCTATTTCTGAAATAAACCAGAGACTTTCTATTCTTTTTTTCTATTTTTATTTTTTGCAACCTTTTATTTGCAGTACTGTTCTAAATCAGAAATATTCTTAAAACATTTGCATGCACTGTGTTGAGATTTTTTCCAAGATCATGACTTGGACAGTGTAAAGGTAAAGGTTCCTCTCGCACATACGTGCTAGTCGTTCCCAACTCTAGGGGGCGGTGCTCATCTCTGTTTCTAAGCCAAAGAGCCAGCACAGTGTGATGACAATTCCATGATCATGTGGCCGGCATGATTAAATGCCGAAGGCATAAGGAACGCTGTTACCTTCCCACCAAGGTGGTTCCTATTTTTCTACTTGCATTTTTACATGTTTTCGAACTGCTAGGTTGGCAGAAGCAAGTAACGGAGCTCACTCCATTATGCGGCACTAGGGATTCGAACTGCCAAACTGCCAACCTTTCTAATCGACAAGCTCAGTGTCTTAGCCACTGAGCCACCACATCCCCTTTGGACAACTGTAGCCTTATACAATTCCCTATATCTGAATTA